TAATGTTAGATGTTGTTGTTTCGCTCATGTTCTTTCACTAATGTTAAAAAGTTATGTTGTACGAATTTTGAACAGAATTTAGAGCAGTTATGAAACAATGAAGTATTTTTACGCTATTGAAAGGAACTATGAGAGTGAAGTACATGACAGCAATGACAAAAGGAACTAATATCAAACCTAATGAAATCGCTCACGAGGACATAGAGCTTAACAAGTACTTTGTGGAGTATCTTATAAGTGAAGAGTATGTAAGACCTTACTTCATGTTTGACAGCATGAATGAGGATGTTATTTCATGGTTAAAGAATATAAGCAATGTTTTCGGTAAGTACGTCATAGATGACAAAGGTCTTGTTGTATTTTATGAGACAGCAATACGAACACAGGAACTAATGGATATTATGCACTCAACAGCAAAGAAAGGATTTAGTACTATTGGCATGAATGAACATTGCAGGAATGACATATACAACCTATGCTCACGAAAGCCTTACACAAAAGCAATACAAATGATAGAACATAAGTGTCTAAGGTCAGCAAATGAAATCATTACTGTCAGTGGTTATGAAAGAACTGTTAGCAAAGATGAGTGGAAACAGCTATTCATATTAAGGAAGGACGTTGCTGAACTAGTTAAACCTGTTGCACAAACATTGTTTCAGATAAGACCAGCAATGACTAAGAACCCTTTGACCTTAGTCAATGAGACCATAGAGGTTGAAGATAATGACATGAAAGAACTAGGAATGAATGAGAGAAGTTGTGAAGGATGTTTGAGTCAAAACACATGGTTCTTCAGAGCTGTTAAGAAACTTAGTAAAGAACGACAGAAATATTTTATAGAGAAGTATTGCAAAGGATGTGTAAATGAATTGCTTGAAATAGAACTTAGAGACACTTTCACACTAAAGGACTTGAGAGAAATAAGTACATGAGTGAAGAAGGTATTGACATAGCTAGTGTTATAAATGACTTAAGAAGATGTGTTGTCGTTATTGACGGAGCACGTATGACATATCTAGTGAAAGATTATGATGGAATACGAGACACAACAACACTTGTGTCAGTAGATAGCAAGGAATTCAATAAGCTCATGAAGAGTGTTTATGTAGGACGTATTGAGGAGAAGGATGTGAACGCACTGATGATTTATGAAGCGGGTCAGAACAAGAACTATCTTATGAAGTCAGGCATGAGATTCTTTGACGAAAGAGATGACATTTACAGCTATTTCAGAGGATATGAGTATGAGGTACTGAATGAAGTAGATGAAAGCATTATTGAAGGATATTTGAAACATGTTCACGATGTCATATGTAATGAGGATGAAGAGCTTTATGAGTATGTTTTGAACTGGTTCGCCTACATCGTTCAAAATCCTTGTGGAAAGACTGGAACAGTACTTTTGTTAATAGGAAAGCAAGGAACTGGTAAGAATGTACTTAGTAATGTTCTATGCGAGCTCATTAGCAAGTACGCCAACAATAATATAACGGCAATAGAGAATGTGGTTGGTAGATTCAATGCTGCTATTGAGAACATGAAGCTCATCGTATGCAATGAACTAAGCTCATGCGATACGTCTAAGGTCATGAACCACGACGCACTAAAGTCAATAGTAACAGAGACTCAGTTGGACTTAAATCAGAAGTGTCAGCCAGTAAGAAAGATAGAGAATGTTTGTAATATCATCATGATATCTAACAACTTCAACTCAGTAAAGATTGACAAAGACGACAGAAGATTTGTTGTCATTGACGTAAGCAGCAGATACAAAGGAAATTACGAATATTTCTCAAATCTCATTGAAAGCTTTAATGAAGAGTTTTATTCAAACTTACTGACGTACTTCATGAAGAAAGATTTAAGTGAATTTGATGTAAGGAAGATACCATTCACCAGGGCTAAACAAGAACTCATCGAAATGAACAAAACACCTTACCAAATGTTTTACGAGGAGTTCTATGAAAAGTTTGTATCCGGATGGAATTGTACAGAGTGCTACAGAAGATATAAAGAATTTGCGAAGGAGAATGAATTCTTTGCATGTAGTTCAAATGTATTTGGTGGCAAGATGAGAGAATTTGTGAAGAGAAGTAGAAAGCGAGACGGTTCTGCAAGAAGTTATATTTACGAAGCAAGTATGATATTAGAAGGTCGTGGAAAGAAAGAAACAGTGAATTATGAGGAAGTGCTTGAAAAATTCATGGAGTACATGGGAAGCAATATAACATACAACAAAGACATATACAGTGAGTTTAAGTACTACTGTGAACAGCATGAGATTGAAGTAATGAGTAAAGGAGACTTTGAAACGCTTATGAAAGACAGTAAGGAGGTCCATGAGAACAGTGTTGAAATAGTTCATGAGAACAGTGAGGAGGTCATACATGAATGCAATGATGAAATAGTTCACGATGTCGTTCGTGAAGAAGCCATTGCAACAAAGAATGATATAAAGGATTTCATAGAACTTAACAAGGAGGAGTTTAAAGAAGGCTATGAAGTGAAAAGATGTGAAGAAGATTTCTTGGCGTATTTGAAGAAAAAGAGACTAAAGCCAATGGCTCAAAATAAGTTTCAATCGATGTTTGAAAAGAAACGTTTGAGCTATGGTGGTGTAAGAAGCACATATTACTTTGTTAAGAAGTGAGGACATTTATTTTTGTCGTTAGTGTTGGAGTTTGTGTTTGTTGTTAGCGTTTGTCATTTGTGCTGAAGTTAGTACTTGATGTTAGTGTTGGAGTTTGTGTTTGTTGTTAGTGTTTGTCATTTGTGCTGAAGTTAGTACTTGATGTTAGTGTTGGAGTTTGTGTTTGTTGTTAGTGAGAGAATAAATTAAATCATGAACTTTGCCATGGTCTCTGTCCCTAGTAGTTTTCATTAAGTTCTGGAAATAATGAAAGTCATAAACTTTGCCATGGTCTCTGTCCCTAGTAGTTTTCATTATCTCACAGAGTTAATGAAAGTCATACTTTCTATCAGATGAAGCATGCAGATGAACATAATGAAAGTTAGTGAGTTTGCCACGAGTTATGAATAAAATATTGGCATATTAGATAAGATAACTGATGAAACAGATGAAGATAAATTAAATCTTGGACTTTGCCACACTCTGTCCCTAGTTCCTCAAAATCCTTGACAACGTTGCTTAGAAATTTTGGTTCAAAACCTCATCTGATTTTAATCTGTTATGCTACCTGTTAAGTTTCGCGAGATTATAAATGTCATGGAGTTATATAAAAAGGAGGGACAGCTAGGGACACTGGAAGTACTTGTAAGGCTATCTGTTAAGATTGCATGAAATACTAAAAAGTCATGAAATCCATTATCGCTGTGCTAGCTTCACCTTAGAGTAAAATGACAAATAAAGTCACTGAAGCAATGAAACAAAAGTTTTTGGTAGAATACATTAAATCAGGAACTATTCCAGAAGGTTTTTACATTCATACTATGAAGGATGGTAGAGTTCAGTTTAGAAAGATAAAGCAACCATTAGATAAAGAAGGAATTTTGAGAAAGATTAAACTTCATGAGGACAACATTGCTGAACTTAGGAAGAAGTTAGAAGAGTTGGAGAAAGGAAGAGAGTTATAAAGCAATGAATTCAACAGGGTGAAAAAACAGGTGAAAAAAGAGGTGAGATCTCACCTCTTCACCTAAATTTATTTTTGTGCTATGTTTTCATACGTGTGGGAGTGGTGATATCATTAATTTTTAAGTTTATTTTTTTATTTTATTTTTTATTTTATTTGGATGTAAATGACGAAAACTATTGAGATAACAAACTACAACAGTCATGAGTTCAAGAATTTGTTCTTCGTTCCTCGTGAAAATACATTCTATCAGATACGAGGGAGAAAGGGTAAAGTTAGTTTGAGCGTTTATGACAACAAACATAATGGGAGATATATAAAAGCAATAGATACAAACGGTAAGCGTGTTTCATTAGCTTTGTCAAAACTTACTAACATTTATTTTGACAGTGACTTTGACTCTGACGATTGGAGTGACAGCAGCGATACTGAAGAATATGAACTATTGTGTGAAGCACAGCAATGGGAAGCGCTGCAATACTTTTGTAAGTGAGAACATTAATGGGAACGTTAGTGAGAACGTTTATTTTTCATTAGTGAAGTCGTTTGTGAAGTCATTAGTGAAGTCATTTATGTGTCAGATGGTTTTGTAAATATTTAAGGTTAAGTTGGTGTTATGGTTGTGTTGTAAAATATACGTTACCGGTTTCGTAAAGTGTCAAACCGTTAACTTGGGTAAGGTGGAACGCAGTGCCGCCGTACACAAGATAGGGATACTAACTACAATATGTAATGGTACTAGAAATATGTTATATATGTATCTTTTCGTTTCTTCAAACTTCATGAGATACAAGATATCACGGAACCAACTTTCTCAAACAACCTATGCAGATGTATTGGAGGTACATAATGAAACACTTCTACGTTTTCCGAATTGAAATTGTACGGTTAGTTGTTGAACTATAAGCTTCCATAAGGACATAAAAATTAAATCTTAAAATAAATATTATATATAAATATATTTTTAGATACTTAATTTATTTATAATATTTTTTTCCCAAAAAAATTTGGAATTTGAAAAGTTAAGGCTGCACTTACGCCCATCTGACTTTAATTCAAATTTTTGACAACTGGCCTGAAGGGCCATTGAAATTTAACATTAAATATCTGAATTGAAGGCCCCATCATAGGGGCGTAAGTGCACCCTTAAATTCTGAAATAATTAAATCGATAAAAAGAATTTACAATATAACATATTATCAAATAGCCGATCTATTACAATTGAACGATTATTCTATTGATTATTTTGTTTATTTGCCGAGTGCAGTGGAAAGGGTGGAGCCTGAATGGCGACATCCTTTCCACTGCACGAGGCACCAATTTTTAGACAATTTTCCCTGGAAAAGTGATGAGTGTAAGGATTTGGATTTTTTGTCACTTTTTACAAGCATAAAGCTCTTCTTGTTAGCGCATCTCTGCTTTAGCTTCGTCTTTAGCAGTTAATTCTCGGGTAAGTTTCTCTTTCTTATGTTTGCGCTTCTCTTCCTTCTTTGTGGAACCAACTTTTGGCTTTAGAGCTTCATTTGCACTCATTTTTTAATTTTTTTTTCGCTTCGAGAGACATAAAATTTTAATTGATATGATGTGAAAAATAGATTCTCACCCATTTATTAATCTGATATATTAGAAATTCGATATGTTTGATGATGATTCTATTGCATTTTGAGCGAATTTATATGTCAGAGTTGATCATTATGATAAGGTTCAATTTGCCTGATTGAGCACCGACTTTGAATATTCTTTTGAAGAATTCATCAAAATATCAGGCTTTTTTGGGGGTTGGCGTCACCATGGCGTCACGATGTAAACTTCTCAATATTGAATGGTTTACGTCGTGACGCCACCGTATTTTAAATTTTTGAAAGGGCTTTGGCGTCACTATGGGAAGTAATATAAACTATAGAATTTGTTTTGATTACCAATAGAAAATACAATTAATTATAAATTTAAATAGAATCACAATAGGAATAAAAATATCAAGAAAGGAAAAATTATGACTTTTGAGAATACTTTTCAGAAGGGATAAGATTAACATTATTGGACTAGGTTGCTAAGCATTTTAATAGGGAACTGGAGCCTGCGAGGCGCATATCTCGAATAAGCACTTCGCAGGCTTCAGTTTCTACCAGATATCTGGGAAACTTTGTCTGAATAACTTAAGATTTGAACAAAGTTTCCCAGATATCTAGTAGGAATTGCTCCTTACGAGGCATATGCTCTAACTATATGCTTCGTAAGGAGCAATTCCAGCCTCAAATATTTTTTTCTTTTCCTATTTTCTTTCAGATCGAAACTTTTGTTTAATCCATCAAAAGTTGCTTCAAAACTCAATTTTAGGTAATTTTATTTATTTATGTCTATTATTTGATTTCAAACTATATTTCCCAAATTATGATTTTTTTATTCAAAAATTTATATGAGCTTCTCAATATATCTCTCAATTTTATAACTTTATAAATCTCCTTATTATCTGATTTGTAATAAAAGATATTTTTTCTACTTAATTTCCGATCGTTTTTAGTGACGCAAAAGCCCTTTCAAAAATTTAAAATTTGCTGGCGTCACGACGTAAACCACTCAATATTGAGAAGTTTACATCGTGACGCCACGGTGACGCCAACCCCAACCCAACCCAAAATATCAATCCCCAAGCCCGATTTTGTAAGTTTTTTAAAGTTTCAAAATCAATTTTCTAGCTTGGTATCTCTTATTTCCTCAAAACAAATTGGAAACATTTGTTAGATTTCTCGAGGAAAAATAATAAACGTACAGAACCATTGTCAAATTTTATTTCTTTGATATGAGCAACAAAGAAGAGCAGCTAAAGAATAAAGAAGAAGAAGAGACACTTGAAAAGACACCATTCATGATGACAATCCCTGCTGGAGAATCTTTTGCTATTGATTTTGCTAAGCACGAGGAAGATGCTTGCCTTTTAATGCATGCAGCACGTTTAGATGATAAGACCGAAGCTAAACTCATTATTAAATATGATTTCTACAAACAAAACCCTGAAGAATTAACAGATCAAGAATTAAAGACTGCTGAAATGGAAACAAAAGAAGATGTATATGTTTTCAACAAAGGCCAGAAAGAAATTACTCTCGAATATACATTTTATGAAGATTTGAACCCATTCTGCGAAGCTCAAGGATCTGAAATCAGAATTGATGGCATTTTTGCACAGGAAGTTGAAGAAGAGGAAGAAGATTATGAAGAAGAACAAGCAGAGGGTGAAGAAGAGCAAGGAAAGGAAGCTGAGAAGTAAGATTATATAATATACTTATTACGTCTGAAATCATAAATATTTGATTAATATTCATTGGTATTTCATGGAATAATTATGATGTCTCTATTGAAGAGCTCAATGGTACTTATGAAATTATTTGTGGATAAATGTTAATCAATACTCAAACTCCTTTTAGGTCATTATCTTCAAAGGAGAAATCTCTTCAATACTATTAAAGTATTCTTGCGCAAAATTGAATTGAACACAAAAATTACTCTAAATAGACGGAAGCATGATATATTTTCTTTTTTAGAGATAATCACAATTTTAATTTCTGTTCCTATTTGAAAGCAAATTTCTTATACCCTCAATTTTTTTACTTTTGCAACTCAATATAGAGAATTTTTTTCAAATTATAGAACAATTTGAAATACAATAGAGACCAACACTGACATGAAAGTATAGGATATCAAAGAACCTTTATAATGGTAATACTGTGATGAACAGATGCTATAAGGGATTAGATTAGTATTATCTTTTAAAATTTGATATACTAGGAAAATCATTGGATTAATGATCAAACTTGGTAAATATTTCTTTTAGTTTTTAAGCGAAATTGCATTTAAAAAGTTAATTTTTTTGCAAAATGGCATCCTTACTCATATATCTCGCTGTTTCAAGCTGCTTTTTCGATCTTATTATATACTAATGCTCTATGCACATAATGACAAATTCTATAATCCATCCCAAAATTTGATTCTTGTCACTTTTCATCAAATTTTTGTCAAAAATGGAAGCTCTTTTATTACCAGGTGAATATATCGTTCAGGAGTTCGGTACAGTCACCTTTGATATGGGAGGAAAGAAAGATAAAGGGCCTCTCTATGTTACTAACGGAAGACTTCTAATTTATGATAAAAGTTCGAACTCATTTCCTGTTGATTACGATCCCACATTATTGAAGGATACAAAAGCACAGCAAAAGGTTAGTAAAGACAATCCTACAACAGATGCAAGTAATTCCGTCAGCAGACTCGTTAATACAACAAATAATAAACCTTTAATTCTTATTACTTTCCATGGAAAAGAATGTAACAATGATCAATCTAATTTTAACAAAGCATACTTAACTCTTAAAGAATCAAAACCAATTCCTAAAGTTTCAAAAGACCAAGTTGACAATACTCCCTTAGAATTAAGGATTTTTAACGAATTATGTGTAAATAACAAAACATTAGCAAGTATACTTAACACGAAGGATGATCTTTCGAATCAATTCTTTACAGATAACTTTAATAACTTTGAATCAGAAATTATTAGTATATTTGCAAAACATCGCTCCCAAATCATTGGCTATTCAAGTAAAGATCAATGGCAACTCTCCCAAAAAGCAGATACTACTTCAGGAGCTAATATAAGTAAATATTCTTTAGATGAACAAACAATCAGACAAATCTTCCGTCGCCATCCGAAATTCCACGAGGAGTACAAAAAACTTTCAACACCTGAAGAACAAGAAAAATTCTTTAGTGAAAAATTTATCGACCACATAAGGAAATACAACGATATTACACAGCTTACCAACATCGAGGACATCGATATTGAACATTTCAATCCTCAGGATACCCAATATCGCTTCAAACAACTAGAAATCTGTTGTAATATCGAAAAATTAGGAGACACATATACATATTCGGGAATTTTCGATAAAGATACTATGAAACCACCAGAAACAATCACTTTGACCGATGTTTCTACCCATACAGAGCTTGTTTTGATAGAATTAGGCGTAATTCCTGATACATCCAAAAACAAGACAGATATTAATAAATACAAGAATATGCCAATTGAGAGGATTGACTCTTTGGCCGCAGATCTCTCAGTTCCAGAAGAAATTAAATATACTCCATTTTGTGTTGACAAAAGTAAGCTTTTCCAACAATCTTATACAGCACCATCACAAGAAGAATGGACCTCATCTATAGATGCCTTCAATTCTGAACTCCACCAAGCTCATCAATCATTTACTGATGCAAAGTGCAATTTCAACCAGTTTAGAACTGTTCTTATTGAAATGACAATTAAGTCACAGCTACTGAATGACTACGACATCTCCGCTTTGACTGAAGAACAGATTTCTCTGATTGAAAAGTTCGCTGAGTTCTATTCCGAACTGGAAATATACGCATTCACTTATTGGAAGGCCATTGATAAAAAGGCTGCACAAATTCAGACACAAATTAGAGAAAAAGTTCAAAATCTGAAAGATAGAGTGCAGAGATTCGTCAGAACATCGGATGAGAAGATGCTGCTCAACTCTTTGTTTGATAACATGAACAGTATCATTGATCCAATCTTGGGAGGTAAAACTTTCGCTCAATTACCTCAAAATACTAACGCTACTGGATTCAGCTTCATGAGCTTTTAATAAAGTATATATATATTTATTATATTTTTTAATAACATGCGTGTGGCTAGACATAATGTGTTTATCTAGAAAACAGGTTAATACAATCTTGAGTAATATTGTCTTCATGAATTACATTCTAAGGCAATTGTATTTCCAGGTTTAGATGGGCTGGATACCTTTATTTTTTTCTCCATACAAGGTGAATTTTCGAATATAACAAATCAAACTTTGAAACCAAAGCTGCTGTGTATGATGTATTTGATCAACCATGAAAGTTTGAGATCCATTATATCATTCTAGTGTGGTTAAATTTTTTCCCATCAATATGAAATAATGGGAAATGCTATTTGAAAAATGAGCTTAGTACATATTCTCAATTTGACCAATAGCATGGAACAATGACATATCTTACACTTAAAATTCTCTGTAATAATGAGTTATTTTTGTAAAGTTATATATCATCAACTTTTTTATCATATCATAATCAAATTCATTTAAAATAAATATTTATAAGTATATTTTATTTATTTTACAGTTGCATTTTGAGTGACATACATTCGATAAACGTTTGCTCTCAGCTTTAAATAAGTATTTAAACTGTTGAACAAAGCCTTTTTTGTTGGAGGATCGTAAACGAACTCAGTCAAAGCATCATCTTTCTTCTTTTTATTTGTTGATCCTTCCATGTACGAAACTTCTTCAGGCAGAGTAACGAATTGTACAGGAACTTGAAGTTGGTTCATTATCTCATCATCATAATTATTAACAAATATTGAATACCTTATTCTGAACATTACCAAATACCTGAACAAATCGAAATAGTTTTGTTTCCTTGCGTTTTCCATGTCAATCATAAAGAATCTTGAAGAATGGTAAGGTCTTCCTGCTCTTTGTAACAATGATTCTCTCTCCATGAACCACATAGAAACAAATGGTTTGAACTTCCTTCCGAAATGTGGTGCCGCAATTGCTGCATCTCTCATGTTGAAATCGGTCAGCAATTTTATGTCTTTCTTGAAGAAAATTGATTGGTCGACAAAAACAACACGTTTTACTGTTGACGGAAGGATGAAATCCACCATCGCGTGTTTCATTGTCGCAACCATCATCTCGTGTGCTGTTGACATCTCAAGGAAGGGAGGAACGTATTCTGCAACAGGAACAATGTTAACTCCAAAGCCTTCGCCGCTTCTTGGAGGATTTACAACATATGCAGTGATCTTCTCTTTTGTTGTGTTCACTAATGACGAAAGCATCAAAATGAAGTTCGTTTCGAAGACAGGATTAGTAATGATCGAGAAGATGTGGACACCTTCAGAGGTTGGAACGTCAATATGTGAAAAATCTGACATGTAAAATTTGTAAACTGGTAAAATTGAGTCAGAAATGACAGATTGTCTTAATCCTTGAGCATTGTAGATTCCTGGAGGAAGAGTGAACTGGAAATAGCCGGATTCTTTAAGAGCGGTATGGTAAATGTCGCCAATTTTGATTACGTTGGCTCCTGGAGCGAATCCGGTCAAAATGAGACCTTCAATGTAGAAATGGAGGCCACGACGAATTACAGCCCAGCTCTTATGACCTACAAATGTTAGATTGGCCACTGGGGGTGCGTTTTGGAGCTCATTCATTACAGGGAAATAATTTTCTTGCATAAATGGAAAAGTTGTGTCTAATCCTTCCGTACTACAGCTAGGAATGAAGGCTACGATGCCGGCGCCGGATTGGCCGACGTGGGAAGCGACTTCAATTATTTCTCTGAAATTTATTGAGAAAGGATTAGTAATTAGGCTGTAGGCCATCTCAGCATTTGGATTTGAGTAATCTATAATGTACAAATTTGTTTCTGGATTAACAAATTTCGTTCTTTTGATTCCATTTAAGAATTGTGAAGCTCTGAGGATAGTTATGTAGAAGACTTGTGGTGACGTTGCTTTATTTGTGATATTATGGCAATATCTCTTTTGTACATACCTCAAAGCGTAATCGAATTGTTCTCCATTAAGGTTTCCTTCGAAAATATGTGGACCAATGATCGTTTTCGGAGAACTTCCTATTCGGAGAAGCAATCTCAGCTCCGGATCAATCTCTCCTGACTCGATTTCGTAAAATTCGAAATTTGGAACGTCTTCTTTTACAGAAGCGTAACTGAGGTTGGCCTTGCAGTCGACAAAGAAAACAGGAATCGGCATCTCTGCCTGGCGATGTCGATAAGAAGGACGATTAAATAAATTCTCAAAAATGGAAATAATGGTTCGGCTATCGATACCCGAGAATGTGATAATCTGCTCATTTCGGATTTTTATCGGTGGCCGCATTTTTTCAAGAACAATTGAATTATTTTTGAGATAATCCGTCAAAGACTGATTTGTTACGAACGTTCCTTGTTTGGCAGCATCCATGAGTCTATTTACTTGCTGTAAATAAAATCTGCGCCATTCTAAATACGACAAAGGTCCAGATACGAAATTACCATTGACAGAATACGTTGTATCGTTAATTCCAACTTTTTGATAATAATCATTGAGATCATTAACGATAGCGGTGAACCCTGTATCGTTGTAAAGTCTTTTTTCAATATCATTCCAATTAATAATCGGACGAGTTGCTTTATATTCCTTTTTGATGTTGCCACTCTCTAAGGCATCGAATAAGTATTTAATGGCTGTTCTTGCGCCAAGAGTTTCCTCAGTTTTCAAATATGAATAAACAATTTTCTTTTCTGTCTCATTTGTTAGATCTCCGAGGCAGTAAACATTAACTACATAAGGTATTTCGGATCTTGCAAGCTCTAGAAGGTCGTAAAGTAAATATTTCGACATCGGATTATTTATATTCACAAAAAGTTGAATTGACGACAAAACTTCCTTGTATCTCATGAACTCTTCAGGCGATGTTGCATTTACGTTGAGTTCCTTGGGAGATCTCTGTAAAACATTGAAGAAATCGTGATGTGTCAAATCTCGATGCCAATGAGGCGGAGAAACGTAATTGTAAACTTCTTTGACGGTTGGACTGTAAATTATTTGTTCGTAGTCGGTCGAATTCGTAAATTGAAGATGTGATAAAATAAATTTCGTTTGCGTTTCTTCTAGAAGAGCACGAAGGACGTCATGAGATGTGCCATCAACTACTCTACCATTTATACTGATTGTTTCGGCAAAACTTGTATTCGAAGTTAAATTTTTGAATGAATCAATTAAACTATCGAATATTGGATGGTTTTCGAGAAAAGGATACTCTCCAGGAAAATTGGCAGCTGAGTTCCTCAAGAAACTGAACCTATCTTGAGCATTTGGGAAAGAATACAATCTTGATAAGAAACGCGCTGAAAAATTCTTGATTTTGTTCTCATTGAAGTCATTTGGAACTGAAAATCCATAGCCGCGTAGCTCCGAAATCGTATTTTCTTTGCTCCTGCCTGCTGAAGCGCGAGGATGAAAATATCTCCATGAAAGAGAAAGATTTAGTAAGCCAAGTACGGATTTTGGCATCCATTCTTGATTTAATAAACGTAAAACTTTATCTTTTGTTAAGTCTGTCTCATCTTGAAGGAGATGTTGAACATGAACAGTTAAATCGGGCCTTAAGAACTCAAAAAATAGCAATGTTTCATCTTCGATGTATGAATCTCCCCATGTACCATATAATTTTGTTGTTTCTTCTGCTCGTGAGAGAAAAAGAAACGAAAAGAGAAACATTGAAATTTTTTTTTCGAAATTTGATTTTTTTTTTACATCTACTCACCAAATATCAATATTGGATAAATACTGATGTAAATACGATTAGTCAGAAGTACACTATGAATGTTGCAATATCATTGCATTCCAACTCTTCCATTTAAAAATAAAATCTTTGATTTGTGTGTAATCTTTGTTAGGCATTGAGTATATTGCTATATTTTGTACAAATCATTTAATATCTCTCATGAATTCTTCGAAACTCGGATATATTTCATATTTTATTCTCATATAGATCAAGGAGCTTCAAGAATTTAATTTTCAATGATTCGTTGAGTTAGAAATTTATTTGCACATTGAAATAAGTTATTAAACCATTGACGAATTATAAATTTAAATCATTGATGAATTTTTAATAAAAATCTGAGGAAATGGTGAAATTAGAAAGATGGATTTTGGAGGGAGATCCTAATTCCTTCTGATATCATAGAGATATATAATGAGCACAAAAATTAGCTAAAAATTTTAGGGGTTTCTAATGGCAGAAACGTGAGATTTGAAGGGGGCTTCCGTTTTTGTCCTATATATTTCATATTGATATGTATGTTCATGAAATATAAGATATCATTCAGATGATTGAAATAAAGCAATCTTTCTTATAGAGTAAAAGCAGGTGAATCAACATATCCTTGTACATGTTTCTTCTCCTACTCTAAATGATTTGTTACTGTTAATATCGAAAAAAAGTAAAATCATTTCCATAATCTTTCAAATTTTTAACAGGATGTATAAATCAGTATGAGGAAGAGCAGATATATTAAAAATTAAGTATAAAAAAATTGTAAAATTTATTAAAAACAAATTATAATTCCTTTTGTTCTGATTTTTCAGACTGATGTTGTTCCATATTAGCTGTATTTTCATTTGATTCTTGGTTTTGTGTTGGAGGAATGTAGTTCGGATAGAATTCTTTGAAAACGTTGAAATTCTTGTTTGTAAAGTCTCTATTCTTAGCATTTACATGAGGATCAGTTATCATATGATGCATTTTATTAATTGTTTGGATAATTTTCTCATCACCTTCTTTAATAATTCGATTCATCACTTTTACGTAAAAAGAAGCTCCTGGAACTTCTTTTGTCTTCTCTATTATTTTGCTTCTTTCTTCTGGATCCTTTGTTTCGATGAATTCTTTGACAAATGGCTTTGCAGCTTCAATTCTTCCAACATTTTCTTCAAGAAAGCCGTCTATACGCCTGTGAGTATCGCAATTATCGTTAATGTCGAGGACAAGAAGATTGGCAATGGCCATATCATTGAAAGGAACGTAATTTGCGTTTGTCCATCTTGCAGCGACTGGATAGCCAAGATCGTTAACTGGCTTGCACAATGGTCTGAATTTATCGCATCTGATAATACCAATTGTAACATTTTCTTCATTTTGGAAGGCTTTTGCGACCATTCTTGCTTCATAAAGGAATTTTTTATGATGTTCAAAAAGAGATGAGTAGAAAATACCAACAGCACATTTCTTGCTATCTTTCCATGCTTCAAAGTTATTTGGTGTGACTTCGTAAAATAATTTCGGAATTTTTCTTGGTTCAATGTTTGTTTTCTCTTTAACAAACTTAGCAAATTCATCTGCACCCATATACCCTTCAAATTTTATTGGTGTAAGCGAGTTTGGCATGAAAATTGCAACACTTGGGTATTTTTCTATGTTGAATTCATTGACACATAGATTTTTATGTGTAATGCAATCAATTGCGACAAAATTTACATCATCAAACATTTCAGTTACTTGCCAAAACTCGTCAGCCATTGCAAAACAATGCGGACATGAAGGATTATAGAATTTTACAAGGGCAGGCTTATTGGTGCCGATATAATCTTGATAATCATAGTCGCCAACCTCTTGAATATCTGTTGAAAACGAAAAATATAACAAGAAAAACATTTTTTTGTCAAATTTTAATCGACCAAATTATTTAGATCAAAATAACTTGATAAATATTATCCTTATTCAATGTATTAATGTGAATCTAAATAGATCAACCTTTTGATTGCTGGGCTGAATACAATCACACATTTGAAGCAACAAATCTGCTAAAAATATAACCCATCCTAAGGATGTCATTTTGTCGCGCATGGGTCGATTGCGAAACCCAAGTCGGGGCGCTGGGAGTGTCAAAAATTGAGTTAATTTGTAAAGTGTCAAAATTATTATTGGTGAATTAAAATCAAATATTATAATAGATATCACACCTTGGTTTTTGTTGAATTTTCTTGTATTTTCAGAGAATTGATATTAAAATTTTCTATGAGCCAAAGGTACATTCAGTTGGTGATAATAGCAAATTGGGATGAAAATTTCCTATTCCTCGCTATGGGAATATTTATTATATCTTCCGTTTCCCCTCACAAATATATTTAATTTTCTGAATAATACGTATAATAAAATGAATAACTCAAAAACTAAAATACAATATTAATATTGGGTAATGACTCGATATGATCAAAACTTTTGAATTCATACATTTTTTGAAAAATTTGGATTTTTCAAAAATGATTTTGTTTGAGCATGAACGTGAAGCGAAATTTTAAGGAAAATATTAAGTTAAGTAATTTGGGTTTATCTTGTTATGTGATGCATATTTTCACGATCTGACAGCAGAAATCGAATCAGCGGAGCCTGAAGAATCAGATTACGCGGGAAAAATAGGTTTTGAACGCTTAGATAGGGCTAAAATGAGACTTTATGAGGTGTGTTGTATAAATATAGTTTTTGCGATAATATGTCATGAGATCAGAATACGAAGGGAGTATGTATGCGTTATTGTCACATGTTTATATGTGGAAATAGCTCAGTAGAGTCTGTAAGATAGTTCGGTACACACCATAAGTTATATAAAGCACAAAAAATAAAAAATAAATATTAAAAAGGTAAAATTATATTAGAAAAAATATGTGTGAGGGGATGTCTCTATAAAACATAGTTAATTGACAAAGGTGGATGCACAATACACTCTTGTCGGTCAAAGTTTTGCAATCACATTCTGATTGCAAAAGATTGTTCCATTCTGGGATACATGCAGAGGCAATGTCTCCCAGAATGAGACACTGCGACCGACAAGAGTGCACAATACACTCTTGTCGGTCAAAGTTTTGCAATCACATTCTGATTGCAAAAGATTGTTCCATTCTGGGATACATGCAGAGGCAATATCTCCCAGAATGACATCTTCATGCCAAAGGCAATATATTTCTTATTTAAATTTGCATAAACTCCAATTTTTTTTCAATCTTAATTAAATTTTTTTTCTACTTCTTTAATTCGTTTCATCTTTCTCATAGAATATCTATTCCTTTTACAGACATGAAATCCCTAATCAGGCTTTTTCAATACTCATATATTTCATATAAATCATTGTTATTTTTTCTCTCATCGCATATTTTATTAAATTTCCATATTTCCTCTCACATATCCCTCTTCACATATATTGAATCTCCACACTCATCTATTAGAACAATATATTTTCGCTTAATCTCATATTATTCATTAACAATCTTTCCTATTCTTATTTCTAGTTAATATACCAATATATATATATAGAATATATGCCGAATTACATATTCAGATATATTAAATTCAAGAAATTCTTCTAAAATTATTCTCCTATTCATAATAAAATCATATTTAGTCTCACATCACAATTCTCTCAGTTCTCCAATATCATGTCATATTGGTAACATCACATATATCTCTTATAATATCACTTTAATTTGTATTTTTTTATTTTAATTATATTTAATTAGTTCTACATTCTATTATTATAGAGGTTTGACAAATTCATCAATAGTTAAAATCGAAATCTATGCAGATCTTTGAATCTAATGAAAATTACATTTCGATATCTTTTTGCAAGCTTAATTTTTTGTATTATCTTAAAATACATTTAGTAATGTTATGTACATATTGAATTCAAATTATGACGCAGTATTATGCAACTCATCTTGAGATTCACATTTCATTTTCACAATTATTGCATATATACATCAATAACATATTGTACTCATATAGCTACACGACTCTAAACTCAATGACATCAAATAATGCTTCTAATATTTAAAATTATTTTTGCATTTTTGATTCTCAGCTTAACTTCTATAAATGTCACCAAAACATTTCATTCCTACCAAAAAATAATATATTAGTAATTAAGCGTTTATTATCATTGTTACTCACATCATATTAATTCATTTTTGTAATTTTTTAAATAAATGACTGGAATCATAAACCCTATGTACCCATATCAACATGTTAAAATTTCAAAGTCTGAAACTTAGTATACATTGAGTTTCATGAAATCAGATAATCTCGTAGATTTCTTAAATATTATATATTGCTGGCCAATAATGATGCAGTATGATTCTCCATCATATCAGCATTCTAAACATATCTTTATTTTGTCAATTGGCATAAATTAAGGGTGCTTTTCAGGCGATAAATGGTATTTTAGATACCTGGGTAGGGGTCATGAAAAAGTTGCAAAAGTCAAAAATTGAGGGTAGCAATGATAAATATGAAAAGAAGAATAATGAAATAAAACAATGATAAATATGAAAAGAAGAATAATGAAATAAAACAATGATAAATATGAAAAGAAAGAGAATGTTATAAAACAATGATAAATATGAAAAGAAAGAGAAATTCAAAAATCAATGATAAATATAAAAAGTGAAAGAATTCCATGAAACAATGATAAATATGAAAAGAAAGAGAATATTATAAAACAATGATAAATATGAAAAGAAAGAGAATTCCGTGAAACAATGATAAATATGAAAAGAACGAGAATTTTATAAAACAATGATAAATATAAAAAGAAAGAGAATGTAATATAGCAATTATAAATATGAAAAGAAGGAGAATGTAATAAAACATTGATAAACATGATAAGAAAGAGAATAAGTTTCATGATGACATCTGCACCGTGGTCAACTAAGATTTCAACAATTTCTATTAAATTTGTTTTGATTGCAATACTAAGAGGGCACTCATTAAAATAAAAAATATTTCATAAAGCAATAAAAAATATGAAAAGATAGAGCATTTTATAAAACAATGATTAACACGAAAAGAAAGATAAGTACATAAAACAATAATAAAAATGAAAAGAAAGAGAATGTTTTGTATCAATGATAAATATGAAAGGAAAGAGAATGTAATAAAGCAATGATGAATATGAAAAGAAAGAAAATGTTATAAAGCAATGATAAATATGAAAAGGAAGAGAATTCCATGAAACAATGATAAATATGAAAAGGAAGAGAATGTAATAAAATAATGATTAATATGAAAAGAAAGAGAGTCACATAAAGCAATGATAAATATTAAAAGAACAAGAATGTCATTGAACAATGATAAGTATTAAAAGAAAGAAAATTCTATGAAACAATGATAAAGAGTTGTTAAAAAACGGTTATAATCGTCGTCCTACTTCTCCATTTTTTACCAGAATTTCTCACTTTGAACGATAGAACCTATGAATCGAGCCATGATTCACATACCAAAAATTCGAGGAAAATTTTTAAATGATATCTGTCTCGTCAAACCCTAATGTTGAGAAAAGATGCGAAATCATAATCAAATTATTTGGCACAAAATCAAATTTTCTTTCTTAAGAATGGTGAAGCTATATATTTTAGCTATGTCAGAATGTGAATAGTTGTATATTTATAGAATATGAGGAAATTGCAAAATTGCGAGAATATGAGAATATAAAAATGGTAAATATGCACATTTTTGATATAATTAGAATTTAATAGGAAATGAAATATGTGTGGAAGTGTGATATTGCACGATATTAACATACGAAGCAGTGAGTGAGAAAGAATTGGAGAAATTCAATGGTGAATTATAATAAAATGAGTATATAAGCCTTAGATATGTAATGTAAAATGTTCCTAAGTAGTGGAAGATTGATTTGTATGTATTTTGACTAATCAACATCTGATTGTTCACTTTGTTCCTTATCTGAGGTGCATTAAGAGATATTGAACCTCAGATGAGGAACAAAGACTTGAAAGATTGTTAAAAACAATCTTTCATGTCTTTTGTCGACAATCTGATGTTGATTGTTCACTTTGTTCCTCATCTGAGGTACTTGTTTAAGCATTGTACCTCATATGAGGAACAAAGACTTCAGAAACTCTTAAGAACAATCTTTAGTGTTCTTGGGTGACAATCAACATCTGTTTGTTCACTTTGTTCCTCATCTGAGGTACATTAAGAGATATTGAACCTTATATGAGGAACAAAGACTTGAAAGATTGTTAAAAACAATCTTTCATGTCTTTTGACAACAATCAACATCTGATTGTTCACTTTGTTCCTCATCTGAGGTACATTAAGAGATATTGAACCTCAGATGAGGAATAAAGACTTCAGAGACTTTTTGTGAGAGTCTTCGAAAACTTTCTTCTTCAATCAGAAGTTGATTGAAGACTTTGTTCCTCATCTGAGTTAGACGGAGGAATATTGTACATCAGATGATATTATATTGTTTAAAATCACATTTTAGAGATTTTATTTGGTTAAATATAAAAATTTAATATTGAATTTAACTCATTTTAAAGATTTTATTATTCAACCCAATATGTAAACAATAACAATAACCTTCTATAGATTTAAATCATTGAAATTTGCTTGAATTTTGAAATAATGATAGAAAATATGAGAAAAAATATAATTATAAATTGGAAAATTTTTTGATTTTTAATTTTTCATGAGAATTTATTAAATTGAGGAGTCTTTGCTCCTCATCTGAGGTTCAATATCTCTTAATGTACCTCAGATGAGGAACAAAGTGAACAATCAGATGTTGATTGTTGTCAAAAGACATGAAAGATTGTTTTTAACAATCTTTCAAGTCTTTGTTCCTCATCTGAGGTTCA